CGCCCGCGCTCCGCCTGCCCCTCTGCCCCTCTTCGAACTGGAGCCCCAGGAGCCCCCGAGCCATCGCCCTGGAGCGCCCCCACCAGCGTGGGATCCCTTCGGGTGGGCAGACCTTGAGCAGCAGGTGGACCTGCCGGGGGCGCTGGGTTCGGGGTAACAGAAGGACCCGTCTTGATCAACAGTGCCCCCAGCATCAGGCCAGTGCCGGGGCCTCCGCTGGTCTCCACGTGGCCCCCACAGTGGCTTCAGGGCAGCCGGGCTTTTTTCACTGAGTTGAGATTCACATAACGTAGAATCCTCCATTTTAAATGAACAATTCAGTGGCATCTAGTACCTTCCAGTGTTGGGCAGTGTCCAGGTCCGGGACGTTTTCATGGCCCCGAAAGGAACCCGTACTCTCCCCTCCCTCAACCCCTGGTAACGGCCACTCTGCTTTCTGCCCCTTCGAGCCTGCCCGTCTGGACACTTCATCTGCATGGAGCCGCGCCCTGTGGCCTTCGTGCCTGGCGGCCTCTCTGCGCCCACCCCTGCTGGGGCTGAGCGGTGTGCAGACATCCCAGCCGGATGAGGCGGTAGCCCTGCTGCCCTGAGGGGCCACCCCACCATTTCCTCCAGTGGCCCCACCGTTTCACATCCGCACCGACAGGGCGTGCTCCGCCTCCACCTGCCAACACCCGTCACTTCCCACTTTTTAACTGTCCTGGTGGGTGTGACCTGTCAGCCCTGAGCTCCCGAGACACAGGGTTGGGAGGCAGCCGGGTGGACGCCTTACCATGTGCCTTTCAGACGGAGCTGGGAGCCTGAAGCATCGTCTGCCACAGGCTGGTCATTAGCAGCAAGTCACCGAGGCCGCCCGGATTCAAGGCGGGGCTCTCTTGTTCACGGGAGGGATGTCGAGGAATTCGGAGACATGTTTTAAAATCACAGCATCTCATCCGGCCGGTGTGGCTCAGTGGTTGAGCGTTGACCCAGGCACCAAGAGGTCGCCGGTTCGATTCCCGGTCAGGGCACATGCCCAGGTTGTGGGCCCGGTCCCCACTGGGGGGCCTGCAGGAGGCGGCCAGTCGATGTTCTCTCTCATCGATGTTTCTATCTCTCTCTCCTTCTCCCTTCCTCTCTCTCTCAAATCAATACAGGAAAAACAATTTTTTAAAAATCACAGTATCTCCACAGCGTTTCTCATCTGCTCCCCTAGACCGGTGCCTCTTGGAGAGCCGGTTTGTGACAGGACACGGAGCTCACGCCAGACACGAGCCAGCGCCCCGCTTCCTCCGTCCGCTGCCGGGGCCCAGGGCCGTCGCCACACCCGCCACATGCTCAGCCCAGCGGGGCCACGGGAAGGGCCTGCGGGCCCCGGCAGCGCTGTGAGCGTAAATGACCATGGCACCCCCTCCTCAAATCTCCCAGGATTTATGGGACCTGAAGCTTAGACATTTTGGCTTCCCATCTTTAAGAAAATGAATTTTAAAAATGACTACAAAATTAGGTTCAAAGGAGAACATGAAGAATGAGGAATCACATCACACACATCTGAAAAGTTGACAGATACCCAAATATTAAAAAGTCCAGAAAATCAACACTAGCTCCAGAGACGGTGACAGGCCCAGGAGAGCTGCTGGGGACCCTCCCGCAGTCTCGTGATGAGTCCATGACACCGGGAGGAGGAGAGGGTCCTCGGCCCTCCCTCCAGCACAGCTGATCCAGGTTGATCCAAGTTTGAACTACTGATACTTTAGAAAAGTGTCTTCCATCTTCACAACTCACACGGGCAGTGTGGATAGTCAAACTGCTGGGGAGATCGCTGTCTCTCTCCTGTATGAGCTGTGAGATCGGAGAACATCAGGAATTCCGGACCTCTGCCGTCTTTCCTGAACCAAGTACGGCACGTGCGCGTCGTGGAGCAGACTTCTGTCCTCCCAGGTGCGGGCGAGGGCCCCGTCCTCCTCCCGCAGCCCCCTCCCGGCGAGGGCCCCGTCCTCCTCCCGCAGCCCCCCTCCCGGCGAGGGCCCCGTCCTCCTCCCGCAGCCCCCTCCCGGCGAGGGCCCGTCCTCCTCCCGCAGCCCCCTCCCGGCGAGGGCCCCGTCCTCCTCCCGCAGCCCCCCTCCCGGCGAGGGCCCCGTCCTCCTCCCGCAGCCCCCCTCCCGGCGAGGGCCCCGTCCTCCTCCCGCAGCCCCCCTCCCGGCGAGGCCCCGTCCTCCTCCCGCAGGTCCCCTCCCGGCGAGGGCCCCGTCCTCCTCCCGCAGCCCCCCTCCCGGCGAGGGCCCCGTCCTCCTCCCGCAGCCCCCCTCCCGGCGAGGGCCCCGTCCTCCTCCCGCAGCCCCCCTCCCGGCGAGGGCCCGTCCTCCTCACGCAGCCCCCCTCCCGGCGAGGGCCCCGTCCTCCTCCCGCAGCCCCCCTCTCCCGGCGAGGGCACGCCTCCTCCCGCAGCCCCCCTCCCGGCGAGGGCCCCGTCCTCCTCCCGCAGCCCCCTCCCGGCGAGGGCCCCGTCCTCCTCCAGCCCAGCCCCCCCTCCGGCGAGGGCCCCGTCCTCCCTCCCGGCCAGCCACCCTCCCGGCGAGGGCCCCAGTCCTCCTCTCCGCAGCCCCCCTTCCAGGCGAGGGCCCACGGTCGCATCCCGCCGCCACCTCCGGCGAGGCCAGTGCATCCTCCCGCAGCCCCCTCCCGGCGAGGGCCCCGTCCTCCTCCCGCAGCAGCCCCCCTCTCGGGGAGGGCCCCGGCCTCCCAGCAGAGCCCCTCTCCCGGCGAGGGCCCCGCCTCTACCGCAGCCCCTCCGTCGAGGGCCCGTCTCCTCCCGCAGCCCCCCTCCCGGCGAGGGCCCCGTCCTCCTCCCGCAGCCCCCCTCCCGGCGAGGGCCCCGTCCTCCTCCCGCAGCCCCCCTCCCGGCGAGGCCCCGTCCTCCTCCCGCAGCCCCCCTCCCGGCGAGGGCCCCGTCCTCCTCCCGCAGCCCCCCTCCCGGCGAGGGCCCCGTCCTCCTCCCGCAGCCCCCCTCCCGGCGAGGGCCCCGTCCTCCTCCCGCAGCCCCCCTCCCGGCGAGGGCCCCGTCCTCCTCCCGCAGCCCCCCTCCCGGCGAGGGCCCCTTCCTCCCGCAGCCCCCACAGGAGCGCTTTCCCTGACCAGCTTCTGGCTCCGTTCATTTCAAGTCTTGTCTCCTGCTCACCCCGCCGCCTCCCCGCTCTGCAGGATGGGTGCGTGTCGCCATGACCCTGCCTGGCACCTTGGAGTCAAAGGCACAGTGGGCAGCAGAAGTCTGCCTGGAAGCCGTCCTCACCTGGATGACCATCAGTAACCCCACTAAACATGGAAGTGACAACAAACCACACTGATGTACCCCACTAATTCGGAACTAAGTATCCCCCCAGCTCAGCTTCCCCTTATCTGAATCCCCACAATGCCCATGTGGCCCCAGCGCCCCCAATAGCGGAAGTATGATGGGTGGAAGTTGGAATGGAACAAGGGGCCAGTTTCAAGCAACTGAAGTTGAAGTATTCTGTTCTTGCAAACCTTAGAAAATCTTGGGACCATGTGACCCCTGCCAAAGCTCACTGCAGGGATGGGGACGGGGCCTCGGTGAGGGAGGACCTCTGCGCGAACTCCACTCCGTGGGTCCACCCAACCTCCACTCCCACAAAGAGCCACGGAGACCACTCCCAGGCGCCTCGGCCGGCGCACCTGTCCTGCCTCCTGCATCCTCTTTCCCTCCCTCTGCTGAGTCATCCCGTTGGCATCAACACAGCAGTTTCTCCTTCATTTGGAAATAAGCCCTCACCCCGACACCTGCTCCACTACTGCCCGTTTCTCTGCTTTTCTTACAGCAAAATCCCTCAAAAGGACACTCCTAGGGCCAGCTTCCCAGTTCTCCCACTCAGTGCTCAGTCCCCAGAAGCTGGGTCTGAGCTGCACCTTCACAGGTGACCCCTCCTCCTCGACTCCACCGTCTCTTCTGTCCTTGCTGGCAGCTTATTTTTGGTCTCCTGGGCAGGCCTCCCTGTCTCCCTGGACCTTGTACCACTGGGGGTCTGTGGCACAGCCTCAGTCCACCTCCGCTCCCTCCCTCCCTCAGTGACCTTAGCCAGGCTGGTGACTTTCCGTCCCAGCTGTGTGCTGAAGACTCGGAAACACGACTCCAGCCTGGACCCCTCGCCGAGCTTGAGGGCTGAGTATCGTGTCTCCTGTGCATTTCCACCCGATGTCTAGTCTGCACCTCAGCCGAATCTGCTCCCATCCAACCCCCAATCGCACTCCTTCCTGAGGCCTTTAGAATGACATCGCCACCTCTCCAGGTGTTCAGGCCCAAACCATGAAGTCGCCTGTGTCTCCTCTCCGTCACCCACGCCCACTCTGTTGGCGCTCTGGTCATCTCTACCTGGGAAGCCCCCCCATCATCTGAGCTATGGAGTAGCCTGATCCCTGGCCTCCTGCCCCAGAGCCTCCCACATTCCCTGAGGGCAAATGGGGTGGAGCCACCTGCCTAGCCTGCCTCCTAAGTCCACGAACAAAACAAAAAATCATGCCTATTTTTGGTCAGGTCAGCACACAGTACGTTGGTGTGCCACAGAACTGCAGAGTGAGCCACGAGAGGACAGAGGTCAAGCTGCTGCCCTGCACCAGCATCCACGCAGCAAATGCCTCCTTCTGACGCTCCCTTCAGGGAGGCGGCCTCCATCCTCTGGGCCCTCCCATGTGTGCCGACCCTCCCCCAGGACCTGTGCAGACGGGGGAGCCCAGGGCTGGTGGCCTTTTCTTCCCATCTCCTGGTGCCAGCAAAGCCTGGGCCCAGCGACACCTTCCCCTGTGAGGCCCCAAGACCCCCCAAGGCAGAACCCCCTGCGGCCCAGGGGCTCCGTTCAGCCGGGACCGCCCTGGGCCTGCGCCCGACAGGCAGAGGGGCTGCGCACAGGCCCATCTCAGGAAGCGGAGGCAGGGAGACCTTTCACTACTGTCCGGTTGTCCCAGTAACACGCAGGAGAAAGGGCAAAACAGAGAACTCCAAGCTTTCATATGATTGGTTTAATTTTTTTTCAGCAGGAGAAAAAAGAATAAAGTTACAAGATTCTTTTAATATTTTCACGATGTTAAAACTAAAACTGAGCTCTAGGCTATGTGTGTAAGTAAATCTAGAACACAAAAGGGTTAAATAAGATTTCTCTTTTAAAGATACAAGAATTTAAGCTTTCCTTACATTTAACAAACTTCACAGAACAGATACTGCAGGGGAACAAGCCCCTCCCCCAGCTCCCCACCAGGAAGTGAACGTGGGCAGAGCCCTGTGTGCTGGACTCCCCAGAGAGCCTGCTTCCCACCACCGCCTCCACGCAGCAGCCGGCGGGGGCCTGAGGAGGGTGGAGGGGCTCATGGGTGGCCTCTTGGGGATCAGAGCTTGGGGGGGGTGCTAGGCAGGCCAGCTCACTGAGGATGGCCGTGGACTGGCCAGAGGGCCGTGGCTTGACAACAGTGGTAAACGTGGGCAGACCCGGCCCCCGGCCCCGGGCTGCCCCTAGAGCAAGACGCCGGGCTGGTCCTGAAGCAAGAATTAAGGCTGGAGACTTTGCAGCGGATTCCACTCTGGTGGGGGTGGGGTGGGAGGAGGAGATTGGGAAGAGCATGATTTCCTATTTCAATAGTTTGGATAAAAAAATTTGCACTTGCAGGTGTTATTTGCAGACAGAGTTGAACTGCTTGTTGTGGAATAAAAGGGTAACTTGCTGGGTTAAACTATTCCAATCGCCTGTGGGTAGACAGACCCCACCGGCTTCTCAGGAGCGCTCCCTCTCATTGCCCTGATCAGACAGGGACTCTGGGCCGCTCAGCCCTGCTCCACGTATCCTGTCTACCCCCCCCCCCCACTGGAAACAATTCCCTAATGGGCAAACAGACCCGTCGCCACCCTTCCCCACCTGGCCTGAGCAACTGCACTCTCTCTTGCCAACGTGAACAGGCACTGGCTGACATGTGCCCCACCCCCGCCCCACGCCAATGTCTCCCTCGGAGCCTGGCCAGGGCCACGAACCACTTGCTGCCCCCTCCCTACACCTGCGGCTTTGTGGATGTGGACTGGCTGTCCTGGGTCTGTGGGGCTGCTCAGGCCGTCCTCCCCTGGACCCCTAGGGGCTGAGCGGCTCCTGCTGGAAGGGGCAGTCTGGGGGGAGCAGCCCCCCAGGTGCTCCCCAGCACATCTACTGACTCCTGTTTCGAATGGAGCTGCAGAGGTCAGCCGGCGGCCCAGCCCCGCTGTGGCGCTGTGATCAGCAGAGCCCGCACTTGCGGGGGGGGGGGGGGGGCAGAGCCGCTGGAGTCAGGGCGCACCCCTGGTTCCTTCTCAGGACCCTGGGGTACTGTGTAGAAAGGTGGTTCTCATGGGTGGACTAATCTTGTGGAGCTAATTTTCAAAGTGAGGTTATTGTTTGTCTTGTCATGTGATGAGTTTTTTCATAGCAAGTCAGGTAAAAAATTCCGTTAAGATTTTCCTAAGAACCTGCTCCCCACCCCCGCTTCCGGCTCGGGGAGAGCAAGGCCATCACCCAGCCGAGCCACGTGGCCAATCTCAGCAGCCTCCCGTGGCCAAGGCACACGTGGCCACCAGGCATCTGGCTACTGGGAGGAGGAGAAGTGAGGGGTGAAAGGCCGGACATGAACCAGAGTTTTGGCAGAACCGTGTGCGCTGTGGGACGTTAGCATCAGCTTCTACTCCTCCAGTAACTCAGTCTCCGTCTGGGACACTTTCCGCTTAAGGCTTTTTGTAAGTTTGACTCCAGCAGTGACAGGTGTGTGTTGCTTTAAATCCACTAGCCATGCTCAAAAAAAATAGTCTTCATGTTTTAATTTTATACAATGGCTAGCAGGCACCTTAGTAACCAGCCAGAAATCAGTTTCGACCACCATCAGCCCTAAACTACAGTACCAGGTGGCTAAAGGAAGGGGCGGCTGGCTGCGGCCTGACGCGTGCCCAGTACAAGGTGTCTGGCTGACTCTGTCCTAAATAAGGCTAACATTAGTGAACTAAGAACAGCGTCGTGTGGCGGCCGTGCCCGGCCTTCAGGAGCACCCCTCCCCGATGCGCTGGCAGGAGCGCCCCACTTTCCGGTCCAGTTTCACCATTTTCATGATGGCTTCCTCTCGGCCACGACCCATGTGGTCAAACGTACAGTCATGCTGCTCGGGGAGGCGATGTAACATACAGAACACGTAACCTGCAGAAGAGGAAGCAGCAGAGAAAACAGAGGGTCAGGGTGGCTTCTAAATGCTCAAAGCCCGGCTCTCACTGGGCTGGGGGACAGAGGGCATCTGTGAATGGACAGAGGGAGTCAGGGCAGGGGCTGGGCCCCTCCTCCCGTCAGTGTGGTGTCCTCGGAGGTGACTCTGTGGTGACTGCTGCTCCTGCCCGTCTGGACCCTGAAGGCAGAACTCGAAGGAGGCAGCACCCTCCCCCCCCCCGGAAGGGCCGGTCCACTTCCAGGAGGCAGGCAGGGAGCAGCCAAAGTGACGACGGTGAATTACATTCTACCTCCTCACAGCTAAGCCGTGGGGACTGTGAGTGACCAAACGGCGATGGCATGGGAGCGGGAGCTCTCACAGAAAAATGGATTATTTCAAGTGCCAGAGAAGGTATCACATGTAAACAGAGGAAAACACAGAAATGCTGAGGTCCGGCTGTTGTCTCAAAGGAGCCACATGCTTCTAACTCCACTCGGCGGGCAGGAGGTGGAGGCCACCTCACCAGGCCTGCCTTCTTGCTCCGCCTCCCAGAGCAGGGCTGCAGGGCTGGACCCCCTTCGGGAGCAGAGAGGCCCAAGGAAGAGACTGGGGAGGCTGGCAGGACAGGGAGGGGAGGGGCGAGAGGCGGGTGAAGTCCCCGACAGGTCCTAGTGAGAGGAGGCAGAGGACGAAGAACCCACAGCTGCATCAGCATGTGACCTGTTCCCTGCCCTCCTCTGGTCACTTCCTAGGGACGCTGACAGGTGTGTGGACGTGTGTAGCAGACAGGCACCTGGTGTCCCCCTAGTCCTCGCTTTGGGCAGAGGATCTGGACTGGGAAGACACCAGCCAGTCCTCACCCCATCCGGCCACACCTCCAGGTGCCATGAGCCTAGACCAGGTCCACAGGCCGGCCTGTGGGTGCATCTGAGCTCTTTCCTCCCCCCTCCCTGAGCCTGGAGCACCCCGCCGCCTGCCAGGCCCATGCTCCCCTCGCCCCCCACACTGCGGCCCCTTCTCAGACTTCTTCCCTCAGCCTACAGACCCGACGGCCAGGGCGGCCACCCTGCAGACTGGTCTATCCATTTACTTCGCAGACAAGGGTGGAGGCAGTGATTTCAGAAGAGCAGAAGTCGAGGTAAAGACTGAGTGGCCAGGACGGACAAAGGCTTCAACAGCCTGAACTTTCAAAGACGAAGGTGGCCCAGAGCAGACCTCAGCTGCACTGGCGGCCCCGCTCGGCCTCGCGCTCACGCTGTGCGAGAAAACACATTATCAACTGCTTCCCAGGGAGAGCACAGCAATATGTTTGACTCCAAATTGGGATTGGGTTTAAGGAAAAGAACAGAGATGAAATTTTTGTCTCCTGAGAAGCCGAGTTCCCACTTGGTCCAAAAGCAAAGCTGAGATTAATGAGCTCATGTGTTATATTTACTGATAAGTTTGTTACTCGAAGCTATTGAATACCAGTTGTCTTTCTCCTCAAGGACTTCCCAGCAGAAGCGTGGATGGTCTCAATGCACAATCATCTTCGTGGAGCAAAGCCCACCCGCTGCGGGAGAAGCTGCTAGGCTGGGGCTTGGGGTGGGGGCACCTGCTGTGTGGTGGCAGGGAGTGGAGCAGACATCTGACTTCATATCTCCAGCATCTGTAACAGGGGCAGGAGGACTGCCCGCTGCCCCTGCCCCTTCCTTTCTCCTAGATACTGGGATGCTGCAGGAGAGGGTCCCAGGGGCTCTTCTCTCCTTCTCATGAATGGCACTGGTTGAATACAAGTCGCACGAAATGGATTAGCCCTGACATGCACTTGGCCCTGGTTCACACTAACATCTCATGAGTCAAAGGCAGCCTGGAGCGGAGGGGGAGGCTCTAGTGTCATCCTCCCTACACACCCCCAACTCTACTTGGCTTGTCTTCCAACAGCCAGGGGACAGCCCACGCAGCGGCTCTGAGCGCCCCTGTGGTGACCACCACGGCACCTTCCTGGTATTCTCTCCACCCACCCAAGGATTCCCCATCCAGCCCCAAACACCTCATTTCTCCACCAAGTTCTGTGAACCTCTATTAGATACATCTTGACACCTGGCTTTGATTTTTGAAAGGTGAAAACCACTAAATAGCAGCTGAATGTTGGGAGCAGTGCTGGTAACAATGAGCACGTATGGCATTGTGACTCCCTGGGGACATCTCTGGAAAGCTGACTCCCAAGCTGCTGCACTGAGGGTATCAGATGGCATGCATTAGGCTCAATTCCCTCCCCTGTCAGGATCACTCCCCAAGAGGAAGTTACATGCTGGAACTTGTCCCAAGTGCCGCCTAGGTATTACCCAAGGACAGCAGCCAATCAGCTCAGTGTCAGTAGTGGGAGTGGGCTGCTCTGGATACTGGGAGGGTGGGGATGACTGTGGGTGGGATGGGCCTTTGTCCTCTTTTCTTGGCGCTCAGCAATCTGTGTCATCGATCTTCAGTCACCCTGGTGCAATTCTGGAGGCCAAGCTGGGTATGGAGGGAGAAGGCTGGCGGCTGGGGAAGGTGACGGTCCCTAACGTTGGTGACGACCGTGTTAGAGCACAAGAGGGTTACAGCTGCCACCTCGGCCAGGGCATCCTCCACACCATTCATCAGAAACCGGCCAGGGCCTCCGAGAGGTCACACGAGGCAGTGCCCAGAAGGCACACAAGCACACAGGACCCAAACAGAGCAGCTGGGCAGCTCCCCGGCTTTGGCATTACCACACAATTCTTTTCTCCCCGATTTTAAAGGTATGTATCAAACCTGAATTCACTCCCTCGTTCACATACACACAATCCATGTCTACACTCCCCCCAGGGCCCCATGGTTTAGCTTCATAGAGTTTTCTTTTAATCCTCACCCAAGGATATTTTTAAATTTATCTTCAGATGGGGGGTGGGGGAGCAACGATGTAAGAAAGACACATTGATTGGATGCCTTCCACACGACCCCGACCAGGGCTGGAACGGAACTGCAACCAAGGTACAGGCCCTTGACTGGGAATCAAACCCACAACCCTTCGGTGCATCGGCTGATGCTCTAACCACTAAACCACACCGGCTAGAACTCAATACACTCTTGCTAACGATAGCTGTGCTTTTAATACCATGCAGTGCTTTGGAAGGATAAGGAGAAATAAAGGGTAGGAGAAAATTATTAAAAGAATGCTGACCCCCAAAAGAGGAAAACATCCAAGGCAAAAGTTTTTGAAGAAAGGATCTGCCTGCTAAATGTGGCGTAACCTCGCCCCTCCCTGCCTCATGAGCCGGGTCCGTGGAGCCCAGACGGCAGTGTCCACGACACGGAGGAAGTCAGGCCTCCTTTCCGCTGCCAGAGTTGCTTTTGGTTAAATCTGCATAAGATGCTCAGGAACGTGTGTGGGTATTTCTTTGCTCACTGGCACTGAAAAGCAATTTGGGATGAGCCCCTGACTAGACAGAGAAGGGGAGGGGAGGCAGCAGCTTTAGGAGCTGTCCCAGGTTCCTCTCCACGTGCCACCACCTGGTGCCTGACTGTCCATCCTGGGCGTGGGAAGAGGGGCAGGAGGCCTAGCCACCGCAGGTGACAGCCGTCAGTGCCTGGTGAGCTAGGCGGGAAGGTTTCCTGAAGGTCTCTGGCAGCTACGCTCTCAGGGTGAAAGCACCTTCTTCCACTCAGAGGCAGCGTGGGGCGGGGGGGGGGGGGGAATCCCACCTAGAGGGCCACAGCGGCTGAACCAGCTGGGACTCCTCCCAGGGCCCTGGCCAAGCCTGTGGCTGTGAACAGAAAGAGACAAGGAGAGGAGCTTCCCAGACTCTGTCACCACCAGAGACACAAGATTATGGCACGAGGCAAAGGAAATACAATCGGAGACCTTTCTGACCCTCTGCCCTTAAAGGGTCCCACGTGAATGAGAAATGCTGAAGGCAGCATTTTGTCACTCACCCTGATTACAGAGGCCTGAGGGGGGCGGTTCTCTGGGAGGACAGGCATTTCAATGGAGGGCGCTCATGGGTATAAACAAGCACACCTGGACTCCTTCCTCTTCACACATACCTGGGGCCTGTGACCCGATGAGCCACATAAACCTGAAGATGCCCAACATGATGGTCCTGAAGACACATCCCTGGCAGAAAACAGAACTGAGGCCCATTCTCCCAAGACTCAAGGTTCGACATGCAGGTTTCTAAAAATGCTCCTTTGGTGGGAACCCAGCTTCTGACCCAACCCTTCAGCTTTTCAAGTGAATACCTGAAAGTTACACAATTCATTCAGATGAACTCATCCACAGCTAAACCTCACTTCTGCTGACCAGGGTATTTTAATATTAAACAAAAACGATCAAGAGCAATTTGTACATTAGGCAGAAATAACATAACACTCAACATCTTGCTCTAAGTGCTATGAAAGTTGCAATGATATTTCCTATTTCACTTGTTCACAAAAACCAGCAGTGGTGATTGCCCAAAAGGGACACTCACAAGAGGGACCTCACCTGCCATCCCCTTCCTCCCTGCCCCTCACCCACAGGCCACAAGGATGGCAACTGTTTGGGTCTGAGGAAGGTGTGCGGAGGCCGAGATGGAGGCGGAGGCAGCGCTGCTCTCCAAACCTTAAGGATTAAGCAGCGGTTAGAGATGGTCTTCTATAACATTTCCTAAGGGAGACAAAAAAAGTGATGCCAAAATTCACATTCAAAGTCTGAGCCCTTGTCATTTTTATTCAATCCTTGCAAGACTGAAATGTTGCTTTTCAGCTTTATCCTGGAGTAAAAAGCATCATTTAAAGTTGGCAAAACTGGGCAGCTCTGGATACTTTAGGACCTTCATTGTTTTCTTGCAGTTTCCCCCCACTTGGAGACTCACCCATTTTAGTAAAGACAGGGACCAGGTGGGCCTCAGCTCCAGCTGCTCAGGTGTTTTCACCTCACTTGCAAGAAATGTTTTACACTTTCTTGTTCATTTGAATTTCAAATTGTCAAAGGTTCAAGTAGAATCTAAAAATA